ACACCCTCACAGGCACACCCAGAGATAATGTTTTAGCAGCTACCTGGACATCCCTTAGGCCGTCAAGTTGACCTATAAAATTAACCCTCACAACTGAGCTCACAGTTGGTGAATGAGTTAGATGAGGCTCTCTAAACTGCATCATCCACCCAACTCCCTATCCAGGGGCCATTCGGTATCTGGTGAGCACCATGATGTCCAGATGCCAAATAGAATATGCAAGAATGAGGTTTTCTTTTAGAAGCTTTGCTTTTCTTTTTGTGTTGCTTTCTTAAAGGAGCTTTCTGTTCAGAAAAGCACAGAGCAACAAACTGTAAAATGGAGCTCTTTCAGAATATACCCTACTCTAGGAAGAGGAATTTCTGTCCTAATTAGGTCATTGGATTTCACAAAGCAGCCTGCCTCACGCTAGGCTTTAGTCTTCCTTCAAGTCAACAAATACTGAGTTTCTGTTATGTGCCAAGCATCAGACGCAGGGAAGAACATCATGAACAAAACATGATCCCTGCCTTTGTGAAGCTTACAGTCCAGTGAGAAGAGACTGGCAATTAAAATATAAAATACTCTTAAGTTACATGATATGGTAGAAGTTGATACGTGCTCTAGTGGGGGAAGGTAGAACAGGGTAATGGAGATCAGGAATCTAAGGGTGGGCTGTGAGAGGCGGTATGCAGTATTGTCAGTTGGCCTCGCTGAAAAGCTGAGATCTAAGCAAAAACTTGAAGGAGGTGACAAAGTTAGCCAGCATTTGGAAGGGAATCCCACCATGCTGAGGGAATGGCTACAGCAGAGGCCCTAAGGCAGGGTCACGCCTGGCATGCACTAGAGCGGTGGAGACCAGTGGCTGAAGCAGGAGAGGGAGGACTTGGTGGGAGAAGCCAGAGGTCATGGGGCTGGATCAGTAGAGTGTTGGGAGCCCCTGGAGGGACCTTGACTTTTACTCCGAGATGGGATCCACCGGAAGGTATTGAGCAGAGGAAGGGCATGATCTGACTTAACATTTTAAATGGTGGCTTGGACTAGGGGTAGCAGTGGAAGTAGGGAGAATGGTGAAATTTGATTTTATCTTGACAGCAGAGCCAAGATGATTGCCTGAACGAATGATTGTGGAGTGTGAATGAAAGAAAAAAAGATCAAGTGACCGAAGCCTTGTCCTCCACAACTGGAAGGATGGAAGGCTATATGTAGGTGGTTAGGTGCAACAGATTTGGGGAAGTGAAGATCAGGAACTGTTTTGCTCGTACTGAGTTTGAGATGGTCTATGCAGATACCCAGGTGGAGATATCAGGTAGGCACGTGTGAATTCTGCAGTTTAGGAGAGCAGTCTCACCTGGAGATAGGCATTTGCGAATTGTCTGCATAGAGAATTTAAAGTCTTATGGGGAGTGCGTGTAGACAGAGAAGACAACCAGGGTAAGGAGGAACCAGGAAGAGAGTGAAAACCCATCAGGGAAAGAGGAAAAAACTCAAGGAAGTGGGATGTCATGAAAGCTAAGTGAGCAAAGTCCGTCAAGGTTGAGATCACCCGTGCCAAATGCTGCTGCGAGACTGGGTTAGAAGAGGTCTGAAAACTGACCGCTAACTAAGTAACATGGTGGTCACTCGGTGACTTACAAGAACGTTCTCTCATTATGCTAATTTATCAAATAATCACTATTTTACCAATTCCTGCCCAATCTGTCACATCCTTTTATTAAATGCCCATAGAAGAATGAATTGTATTATTTTGTGCCACTACAAATTTTCATTAGGAATATTCAAAACTTCCAAACTCATTTTCCATTCGTTGGGTGTAAGCCTGGTGAATATTACTTGCACAAGCCCACTCATTTTTTTTTTAAGATTTTATTTATTTATTTGAGAGAGAGAGAATGAGAGATAGAGAGCATGAGAGGGAAGAGGGTCAGAGGGAGAAGCAGACTCCCCGCTCAGCAGGGAGCCGATGTGGGACTCGATCCCGGGATTCCAGGATCATGACCTGAGCCGAAGGCAGTCGCTTAACCAACTGAGCCACCCAGGCGCCCACAAGCCCACTCATTTTTAATTATCATTTATGTGGTATCATCCCTACTTCTTTTCAAAAGCCCTCTAGGACCCACACTTTGCTCTCCTAAAACCAGCATTTGACAGAACGTATTTCTTTCCCCCTTATTCATACCATGGCTGCCTGTGAAAGAGCCTTTCTTCAGTTCTGCATTATATTTATTAAATTGATACCTTCAGTTTCTGGCTGGGACACAGTAGATGTTCAATAATGTGCTTGATGAATGGACAGAAGGAAGGGAGGTGGAAAGTAAATGGAGAAAGGGAAGATAAGAAAAGAGAAAGTATGGAGGGCGCCCGGGTGGCTCAGTTGGTTGGGTGACTGCCTTCGGCTCAGGTCATGATCCTGGAGTCCTGGGATCAAGTCCCATATCTGGCTCCCTGCTCTGCGGGGAGTTTGCTTCTCCCTCTGACCCAACCCCCTCTCATATGCTCTCTCTCTCTCTCTCTCTCTCTCATTCTCTCTCTCTCAAATAAGTAAATAAAATCTTAAAAGAGAAAGTATGGAGACTGTCAGCTCCAACTGACATGAGGCTCTCAGAAAGCAGGGCAGTGTCTTCATTCATACTATTTTTGATGCAAGTTCTGGCGATCCTTGGAAATTAAGATACATGCCCAGGTAAACTCAGTAAAAACAATTCAAAAGGAAAATAATAACATACATCAAAATATGTTCAGAGGTGGAAACTGATCAGCAAAGTACTGAATGGTCCTCTATTAACTAGTGCTAAAACTAGGACTTTTTGCAGAGTTCAATGACCATTGAAAATGAAACCACTTGAATATTTTGTAAAATAGGTCTTCCAACCTAGGGAATAAAATCTCATCTACTGCATTAATATACATTAACACCTGTGATCACAGTGTTAAGTGTTAGCTTACGGTAGATTCTCCTGGCCCCAGTAAATTAACTCTCCAGCAACGCACACGATAAAGAACGCTGTGGAAATCATTGGCCCGAGCTCCAGCTCTGAAAGTCATTAACTTTTGTGAGCTTGCTGCCGTCTGTTAAAAAGACAGCGGTATCTATGCTGCTGACCTCAGGGTTGTGAGAATCACATGAGGACATGTGAAAACACCTTGGAAATGTGAAAGTAAGCAGTGTGACATGTGGTCAGATCACTGCCCAGGTTTTCTGAACCTGATCATAACAATCCTGAGGGTCACAGAGGCCAAAGCCATTATGCTTGTGCCAACATTTACTGAGGCCGACCACTTGAATCTCTGGAATCCTCTAGAATCCTCCTAGGCTCCTGCCCCAGGTCTGGAACGCTCTGCCCAGCTCTTGGGAGTGACAGCCCAGCGGGCCGCCCCAGGAGTCATGGAGAAACACTTTTGTCTCCAGGAGAAGAGAGAGAAGAATCGTAACAGCAAACCACAGAAGGGGGCTGGCGTAGGAGATAAATGCCATGGGGTTGTCTCTTTTTTTAAAGCAGATAAAAGCTTTGAGGGACTTCCACCGTTTCAATTTAATTTAATTTAATACCACGAAAACCCTCAATTCTTAACTTTACCGTCTTTTTTTTTTTTAAAGATTTTATTTTTATTTATTTGAGAGAGAGAATGAGAGGGAAGAGGGTCAGAGAGAGAAGCAGACTCCCCGCTGAGCAGGGAGCCCGATGCGGGACTCGATCCCGGGACTCCAGGATCATGACCTGAGCCGAAGGCAGTCGCTTAACCAACTGAGCCACCCAGGCGCCCTAACTTTACCGTCTTAAAAGGGTCCTGTTCAGGCCGCTGCGCTGGGGAAGGCCGGCCTTGGAAGCGTTAGGGGCCAAAAGCTCCTGGGTCCTCCGCCCACCGCCCGCGGCTCCCGCTCCCGCGCGCTGGGTCCCCGGGGGACGGCAGTACGCAGCCCTCCGCGGAGCCGGCCCGCCCGGGCCTGCCCCAGAGCTCGGCGGGGCTCAAAGTGCCCAAGCCCCGGAGCGGCCGGCGGGCGAGCTGCCGGCAAGCACCCTCACCGCCTCGTCGTGTGGGGTCTCATTTAAACGTTGCCCACACCTATGTGACGGCTCTCCGCCCGCAACTCGGATTTGGAAGGAAATCTGATTCATCTGATTTGGTTATTTGGCTACATAATAACCTGATTATTTGACCAAATTTGATTATTTGGTTAAATTATAAGTTTTTCAAGTAATTTCCTATATTCAACCCTTCCGGGCCTTTCTACTTAATTGTCGACTGCATGCCTCTCCCTATAGAGCTGTGCTTTATCCTTCCTCATTTTTCTGCCAGGGAGGGTATATGACCGCATACTTTCAAAGCATGTTCTGAAATCTTGGCACCGCACAGAATAAACACAAACCTGGCTTTCAGGTCGTTCCAAGTCCTCTGTTAAGAAAGAATGGTTCATATAGGCTATTAGGAGGGACTTCTTAATTCATTTAAGGCGAAACTCATTTGGGATGAGTAAAATGTGTTCTTAGTTCTTTTACTTCATGTGATTATCAAATGCCCCCCCCTTTTTTTTTAAAAGAGTTTATTTATTTGACAGAGAGAGACACAGCAAGAGAGGGAATGCAAGCAGGGGGAGTGGGGGAGGGAGAAGTAGGCTTCCTGTAGAGCAGGGAGCCCGATGCGGGGCTCGATCCCAGGACCCTGGGACCATGACCTGAGCCGAAGGCAGACGCTTAACCACTGAGCCACCCAGGCGCCCCTCAAATGCCCATTTTTTAAGGTCACTACTTTTGTCTAAGGCTCCATTTTCTTTTAAAAGCCTTTGTAACAGTCCCAATATGACAAATTCCAAGAGCTAAGAAAGCACCTCCAGCTCTCTGGCCCAGTGTGAGGGTTGGTGGGGGCTGCCCTGTGACCAGCACGGTGCCCTGTGATCAGGGTGGGGTCTCCAACTCCTTCGTTCCTTGCCTGGAGGTTGTTTCTACTCAAACACTGAAAGTACTTGAAATATTTGATATTGGAATACATGATAGGCAGAAAGTGACAATGCCACCAATCTGTACTGATATATGGATAAACTTTTATTTACCTACCAAAGGGAAAACCAACATTTACTTAAAGCTACCTAACCCATATCTCCAATAGGGAAGGTGTTTCATTTACTATCCACCTTTAAAAGGTTTCAAATAAAATATCGCTAGGAAAATACATAAAGAATTCAGATTATAAAACTCTCCAGCTAATTAATGGTCATAATAATGCTGGGATTGCCGTTAAAAAAGAGCAATTTTCCATAGTTTACTTGGAAGTACAGATAATCAGTACCACATCTATACATTAAGTTGTAATAGGCAATTGTAAGCAAACGGTATCAAACTGTAACTTTAAAAAATTAATCTGAAGTTGTTATGAACCGTATAAAAATTGATATTATTCTTCCAGTTCTCCCAAAAGCTCTACAAAATCAGTGATGTACCATTGTGCATTGTCTTTTACTTGTTGTCTGATCACATTTCCTCCAAATCCAATGAAAACATCCTAAGAGGGAAAAAAAAGAGGAAAGAGTTAAAAAAAAAAAAGATACAGCAACACCCTGGGGCAGTAAGTGTTATTTGAAAGAATAAACTGTTTGTGTAAAGACAGGTAAAGCCCAGCCTCGAGGGGGTGCCTCCCCAGCTCCCTGGGCCTCCTTGCCTCCCCTGTCCCAAGAATGAAGGAGTCAGGGCACCACAGCTGCAAATCCATTCAGGCTGGGGTCATTGCAGGCTTCAAGGAGAAAACAAGCCCCTTTAAAACCAGTAAAATTGCTTACAAAGATAAAATCCCATCAGGTGGTAAATGTCTTTAGTTCTCAACTGGATGCAGGCACAGCCAGGCCAGGCAATCGCAAAGAGGGAAGATGAAAGAGAAGCCTGGGGTGCAGCTGCAGTCCCACTGGGCCTAGAACCAGGGCCAGAGCAGGTATCTCCTGACAGGTGCTCTGTGTGAACCTGACGGACCTCCCTCCCCGGGAGGGTGTTGTTCTGGGCCAAAGGAGATGACAGCCCCACCATCTGCCGGCAGCACTCCACTTTCCATCATTAAAATTATTTAAATGTTACGTCTATGTTGTTTCCTTAATTTCTACCGAGTGATGCCTTCTTTTAAATGGTATTTTCTCTTTTTGATCTTTTAAATGGTACTTTCTCTTTTTCTGCCAGGATAGAGGCACATTATACCTAATTTGGACATTCAAATTTCTTTTACTTGCCTTTTCTCTTCATTTTTGTTTTCAGACCACACAAGGGGGCAAAAATAACGAGATTCTGACCTTCCAGCTAAATTTAGCCTCCCAACTGAGCTTCCTGCCCCGGTGGCAGCCCTTACTGCATGCACCACCAACTCAGCTGTCCTAACACACTGATGCATTCCTTCTCTGTCCAGAAGCCTTCCAGGGTTCCCCACGACCTAATGGTAACACCCAAGAGCCTGATACATAAAGTCTTCAGCAGTTGCTGAAGAGAAAGCCCAGTCCTGCCGGGTCTTGCCCCCTGACCGGCCCAGGTCCGTGCCTAGTACATGCCCACTCTGCTCTGCTGCCCCCTCCCTCAGTCCTGCCAGGCCTTCACGCGGTGGCCGCTAACCTTCCTCCAGATCACTCATTCCTCTGACCACTTCTGAGGGCTACACACCTGCATGCGCACACTCGCGCTTGGTTCAGTCAGGCCATGTCATCTTCTGATGACTGCTAGGGTCCTCTGGAATTTATAGTTTTGTCATTTCTTGACATCAGGATGAGCAGCTCCCTGACAGAACTAGGCACCGTTTCCTTCCACACACTCCTCATAAAACTAGCCCAGCTTTTGTGACTTAGTCAACCCCAATGTGGGTTGTAAATCATCTCAAGATGTCTTATCTTGAATTGACTCAAGTCAGTTAAAAGGATCCAAAGATTCTTTAACCACTCTGGGTTAATCATTTACAGAGACAACTATTTTTAGATCTCAGGAAACTAATAAAAAGTTCACCACTATATTTTTGGTTCAGTTTTTCTTTAGGATGAGATGATAAGGGCAAAGTCCTACGTGAAAGGGACACATCTGATATTCAGGAACACTTGCTATACAGGCTGTTTCCTGCTAGTCTCAGAAAACAGCATTCATTCAGAAAAACAAAATGCTTTAACACAGGCACATTATCAAACCTCATGAGCCTCAGTTCCCTAACCAGTAACAAGGAGAAGATAATGTATGAAGAAATACTTTATCAAATATAAAAAAGAAAGGGGCGCCTGGGTGGCTCAGTCGTTAAGCGTCTGCCTTCAGCTCAGGTCATGATCCCAGGGTCCTGGGATCAAGACCCACATCAGGCTCCCTGCTCAGCGGGAAGCCTGCTTCTCCCCCCCCCCCTCCCCACCCCCCCCCCCCGCTCCTGCACGCTCCCTCTCTCTCTCTCACATGCACGTGCATGCTCTCTCTCTCAAATAATGAAATCTTATATATATAAAGACATTAAGATTTTGATTACAGTTGTAAGAGCTGTCTTATTATTTGTGGTATTGTTTGGGGAAGTAAAGCCGAACCTGGAGCACACACCTGGGCTGAGAGGTGGCAGGAACGGGGTCGTAAAGTTCTAAGTGGTTTTCTTCCTTAGGTTTGCAAAAAGTCGGCTGACATGCTGAGATTGAAGTTGTTTTATTTGTTTTGGTTTTTTTACAATGATACCTAGAAGTTCTCGTTTAACTGTCACCGATCTTACGGAGTTCTAAATCAGCCATCTAAAACAAAAATACAACCAGAAAAGGCCAGCACACTCGATACATACAGCGGGAGGGCAGGCTTCCATGTCTGTGGCTCCATCTCCAATCATGACTATTTTCTTAAATTGAAATTTTTCCTTTAAAAGTTTAATAACTTTTCCTTTCCCACCAGATTCGGCTGTTGGCTGCATCTCATCAAAACCTGCATATTCACCTTAAAAGAGCAGTTAAAACAGTGTCAGTGATCCACAGAATTATACCAGTAGGGCCAGCTTTGTGCACAGATGATACCCTCACTTAAATGTCACGGAGAAAGCTAAAAATGGCCCTCAGTAAAGTAACACAGCCTGGATTTCCACACCTACTTCCCCGCATAAACCACCTCTGCCTTTAAACTGCAGATCCCTCTTGTTGAGGTTACTCCTTTAGGTCATAAACACCTTGGGGTCAATCGGTTTTATCCTCTAAGCTGTCAGAGTTGTAACTCTCAAACCTCGCTGAGGTGGCAGAACACCATGAAACAATAATATATTGACGTTTTTTAAAAAGTTAATATATAATTTCATCAAAGAGGAGATTCCAACTTATATTTGATGGATTTTCTTTCTTACAGTAATTACCACACTCCCTGTCTACATTTTTTTTTAATGATCTGTGCCTGTAGACCCTTCAAAAATGTTCCACCAACACATTTAACATTTTAAAATTAACATTATTTGGTTTTGGGGCGCCTGGGTGGCTCAGTCGGTTGGGCGTCTGCCTTCAGCTCAGGTCATGATCCCAGGGTCTGGGGATCGAGTCCCACATCGGGCTCCCTGCTTGGCAGGGAGCCTGCTTCTCCCTCTGCCTCTGCCTCTGCAGCTCCTCTTGCTTGTGCTCTCTCTCTCATTCTTTCTCTATGTCAAATAAATAAATAAAATCTTAAAAAAAAACAAAAACATTATTTGGTTTTAAGGACGTCAGCCACCCGTTGCCTTAACTAGAGACCTCCTGAGATGGTAGTAAGCACAGCTGCAGCTCTGCGATGGTCCAGAGAAGGGCCAGGAGGCACTTCAAACCCAGTGACAGAGCAGTGACTCGCTGCTAACAAACTCTCCCTCCTGGGCCTAAACTGGTTCAAATACATAAGAGCTCTCAAAAAAACTGAAATATAAAACATAACAAAATGAGTCACGTGGGTACACAGGACTCAAGTGCAGACGTTTATATTCTGAGAGAGATTAGATGGACACACTAAAGCCAGAAGAGGTGATGGCCTAAGTCTATTTCACAGAACAAAGGATACCAAGAAGCAAAAGACATCAGTCGAGAGAATCCTTCATCTCAGAAAAAAAAAAAAAAAAAAAATAGAGGGTATTATGCTAAGTGAGATAACTCAGTCAGAGAAAGACAATTATCATAAGATTTCACTCATATGTAGAAGTAAAGACACATAACAGAGGATCATAGGGGAAGGGAGGAAAAAATAAAATAAGACAAAATCAGAGAGGGAGACAAACCATGAGACTCTTAACTCTAGGAAACAAAACTGAGGGTTGCTGGAGGGGCGAGGGGTGGGGGGACGGGGTAACTGGGTGACGGGCATTACATAGGGCGCGTGATGTGATGAGCCCTGGGTGTTCTATGCAATTGATGAATCACTGAACTCTACCTCTGAAACTAATAATACACTATTTTAATTAATTGAATTAAAATAAATTAAATTAAAAAAAAGAATCCTTCATCTCAATATTTAACTCTGAGGCTGCCTTAAGTTGCATTCCAACAGACATTATATAAGATATTGAACAATAAAACTGACAAGAAAGGGAAAATGGTACCATTAAAGTCTTACCATTAAAGTAGAATTTCAGCCTATTGGCAAAAACATTGGTTGACGGGATATTGAGCTTTGAAGCAACGTGCTCTACAATGCTCCTAAAGCCACCAGATATTAGGAAAACCTGAACATTTCGCTCTTGGAGGCGACTTACTAGCTCCCTGCAAAAAAGAAATATAAAACACCAAAATGATTAATATAAAAGAAAAAACATGAAACATGAATAGGAAACTGAAATACATTTTTTTCTTCTCAAAGCATTTGCCCAAATATATTGGATAGGTATATTGCCTGGTTAATCATAATGTTTTATGTATTTTTTTAAAAGATTTTTTTTTAATTTATTTGAGAGAGAGAGCTAGAGAGAGAGAGAGAGAGCACACAGAGAGGGAGAGGGATAGAAGCAGACTCCCCGCTGAGCGGGGAGCCCAACACAGGGCTTGATCCCAGGCCGCTGGGATCATGACCTGAGCCGAAGGCAGACGCTTAACCACTGAGCCACCCAGGTGCCCCATGTATGTTTTTCTAAATGCACCTAGAAATTAACAGGTGGGGCTGGACTGCTTAGGAAACCATCCCACAACTCTATTCTGCCCATGAACCTAGAAACACAAAATGAAAGGGAAGCTTAGGCTCTCCCTCAGGAGAGATGACTTGGGCAGGGCCAACCACTCAGGACCACACGTAAGAGCTGAAAGAAGCAGGAAGAAGGGAGGACTAGAGCAATGATGAGAGACTCTCGAGGACATTCCCCCAAATGCAGGTGCTGACAGAGAGACAGTACCCAGACCGGGGCTTCTCTTACCTTATGCCCGGGGTCAGGTGTGGGGGGTGCTCTGCTATGAGCCTTTGCACCTGTTCCCTGGAGGGCTGGATCAGAGCTAAGCGCTCCGTGAGGGCAGCCTTGAAAGGCACTGCCCCACCCATGGCTCGCCGCGTCCTAGGAGGAAGACCCAACCATCAGGCTAGCCATGTCAGATGTCCCTGAAGTCTACACCTTACCTCCCTAGCTCGTCCAACGTCCACCCGTGAGGAAGGGGCTACCTAGAGCCCCACCATACGGCAGACATGCTACAATGCCATGGGAGCAAGGCCTGGTAATAAACTTCCTGAAAATTTGCTTGAGAATCATATTAATATTTTGTGGCCACATCTTGGTTTTATTTTTTTATTGTTATGTTAATCACCACACATTACATCATTAGTTTGTGATGTAGTGTTCCATGATTCATTGTTTGTGCATCACACCCAGTGCTCCACGCAGAACGTGCCCTCTTTAATACCCATCACCAGGCTAACCCATCCCCCCACCCCCCTCCCCTCTAGAACCCTCACTTTGTTTCTCAGAGTCCATAGTCTCTCATGGTTTATCTCCCCCTCTGATTCCCCCCCTTTGTTTTTCCCTTTCTACTATCTTTTTTTTTTCTTAACATACAGTGTATTATTTGTTTCAGAGGTACATGTCTATGATTCATCAATCTTACACAATTCACAGCACTCACCATAGCACATACCTTCCCCAATGTCTATCACCCAGCCACCCCATCCCTCCCACCCCCACCACTCCAGCAACCCTCAGTTTGTTTCCTGAGATTAAGAATTCCTCATATCAGTGAGGTCATATGATACATGTCTTTCTCTGATGGACTTATTTCACTCAGCATAACACCCTCCAGTTCCATCCACGTCGTTGCAAATGGCAAGATCTCATTCCTTTCGATGGCTGCATAATTGTGGCCACGTCTTGCATCAAATGCAGCTGAACATGAAATGGTCCGTGACCTGGTGACTGCAGGCAGCAATGCGGAGGGTAGGAAGGAGGGAAGACTCTCACCCAGGCATAAGCTGAGAGACTCTGAACCAAAACTAGCTTTCTAGCAAACCACTAAGGCCACACATTCAACCGCGACACAAAGCACTGGACGCTTGGTGACCCCCTACCCTGTCATCTTCTTTGGTTAGTTACAGCCATCGTTTCCCTGACTGAGCTAAAAGCATGTCATCCATATTTATTTGTAAGAGGCAACAATTTTTTTTTGTGGTCCTAAGAATTTGTATAAATGGATGACTGGATGATGTACACTAGCTAATTCAGCTCTGAGTGAAGGAAGAAGCTTACTGCCCATGATTTGCAGTCAGGGACTAAAAATCGGGGAGTTGTGGCCCTGGTCCCGCATGTCATCCAAAAGTCACTCTCTTTTGCAATTCTTTATCATTTCATAAAGTGAATAAATACTGTTCCTACATTTCTGACACAGCATCCTCAACTCCACAGAATTTGGCTAGCTCATCAATTCCTTCTTCTCTGATGACAGTGCTATCAACATCAAAGCAGACTGCATCCGCTGAACAGAAAAGTTTCCTCAACTCTGAATGGGAGACCATCCTTGGAAGAATCCTCCTCCTACAACACAAAAAGATAAATATATTTAAAGACCCATCATCATAAAAAGATCCAATTTTGCTTACTAATGCCAATATACTTTGATCCGTGTCTAAGTCAGCATATCCCACATAAACATGGACTCATGGGCTCATTCGTTTCTAACACAAAGTCAGCACCTTCTAAATGTCAGGTTCTGGGGATACAAAGATGAGCAGGACCAAACTCTTCTCTACTGAAGGTACCAACTTATAAATATATTTGATGTTCAACCAATATTCAGCTATTTTTGACCTGACAATTATTGCAATAAGGCAAGTTCTGAAGTGGAAACAGGCATAAGATACTAAAGATATTATGGGCACACAGAGAAAAATGCTTAACCTCGCCTATGAGACAGGGCTTCCAGGGGCATAGAAATTCGAACCGAATCTTGAAGGGTAAGTGGCCTGAGTGGGTTATTAAAGGACAGGGCATCAGTTTGGTGGGTGCTGGGAGTAGGGGGCAGGGAGATGGAGGAAAGAAGAGAGGGTAATGATGGCAGAGAGAAGAGCAGGGGCAAAGGCAAGGAGCAAGAATGATGGATGACATGCTGGAAGCTGCCCAGTGGAGTCCAACTGCCAGGCGGGGCACCAGGGGGGCCCTGGGCCGGGCTGATGAGTTTGGATTTTAACATCTAGGTAATGGAAAACCTTGAAAGGCTTTTTGCCACAGAAGAGAGGTCAGAGCTGAACGGCACATCTGTTAGTCACCAGTGTAGAGGCGGTAATTGAGGGTATGGCCTGATGAAAGTCACCAGAGAGTGGAGAGAGAGGGGAAAGAACGGGGCTGAGAACAGAGCCCGCAGGAACAGATCAGGAGCCTGCGAAGGAAAAGGAAAAGGAAGTCAAGACTCACAGGAAGAGGCTGAGAGACCACAGTGCTGCAGAAACTATGGAGGACAGAGTTTCAAAAGGAATCGTGTGGGGTTTTTGTTTATTTTTTAAGAAAATCGCTGGACTAGAATCTTGGGGGTAAATGGGATCCTAGAAGTTGCCTAGACCCATCTCTCATCAAACATGTCATGTACAAGGCCACACAGATGATGCAAATAACCTATATTTAGAATAGACACTGGCTAAAAACAGACTCGAAGGAGCTGGCCAACACACTTCATAACTGATTTCTAACCAATGCATCTGGCAGAATGATCCAGGTCAAAGTTGACCTGGGGAAAAAAAGACATTTTATGCCAGGGACTGGCAAACTATAGCCAGTAGGCCAAATCAGCCTGTTTTTGTATAGCCTGTGAAGTAAGACTCATTTTTAAAAATTTTTTTTCAAATGGGCTCCAGCCAGCATGGAGCCCAACTCAGGGTTTGAACTCACAACCCTGAGATCAAGACCTGAGCCGAGATTAACAGCTGGACACTTACTTAAGCAACTGAGCCACCCAGGCACCTCTATATTTCAAATAATTGAAAAAAAATCAATAGAATAAAACTTTGTGACACACGGAAACCGCATGAACTTCAAACTTCAGTGTCCATAACTAAAGTTTCAGTAGAATACTGCCACGTTCACTTGCTTATGTGTCCACAGCTGCTTTCATACAACAGAGGAGATTAGTAGCTGCAACAGAGCCTGAAAGGCCTGCAAAGCCTAAAATATTTACCACCTGGCCTTTGACAGAAAAATTGCTGACCCCTGTGTGGAACCCTTACAAAAGAGTGCTCCTAATGGGAAACAGGAGTTTCACAGGAGACCCACTAAAAAAAGGGGAAAGAGAAGGCAATTCATGAATCCAATAAGATAATAGAGTATTAAACTCTAAACTAGTATCAGCCTCAATGTAAATGAAGTTTCCATTAAACAGAGACTCAGCTCCTTTGCTCGTTGCTTCTCTTGCCTTCTCTTAATGTTGCAATGACCACGGTCCACCTCTGGTCTTCTCTAACCACACTCACTCCCTTGATGAATTCATCCGGGCCCGCGGCTTGAAATGTCATCTCTAGGACAGGAACTCCCAAATCTGTACCTAGAGCCCAGTCCTCTCTCCCAAACTCTCAACTCAAACCACCTACCTGACCTCCACTCAGGTGCTGGGAAACACCCCAAACTTCGCATGCCTAAAACTGAATTCCTGATCTTCCTGTCCCGCCGAAACTGCCATTTTTGCACCTTCCTTCTCTCCCTTGATGGCCCATATCCAATCATTCAGGAAACTATGTTGGTTCTACCAACCAAAATCTGACCACTTCTTACCACTGCTATCTCTCTAGCCTGAGTTACCAGTGTTTCTTGCCAAGACTGTACCAAGAGCCTCCTAAAAGGTCTCCCACCCCAGTTTTTGTTCTCAACAGAACAGCCAAAGTAATCATGGTAAGCGAAAGCCAAATCATGTCACACTTCTAGCTCAAAATCCTTCAATGGCTCCTCATTTTATTAAGAGTAAAAGCCAAAGTTCTTACAATTACCTGTAAGGTCTGCCCCCTACCCTCACACCACTACCACCACCACACCCTGCCCATTACACTTCTGACCTCATTTCCTACTCATCTCCCCCTGCTCACTCTGCTCCAACCACACTGGTCCTCCTGTTGTCCTGGAAAATGCACAGACCGGGCTTCCCACTCAGCGCCTTTGGTCCAGCTGTGCCCCTGGTGGGAATGCTCTTCACTTGGATACCCACTTGGCCAATCCCTTATCAAGAGTTTGCCCAAACAACATTGTGTGTCAACTATGCTTCATTAAAAAAAAAAATGAAATTTTAAAAAACGAGTTTGCCCAAGTATCACCTTTTTCCATGAGCCAACCCTGACCACCCTATTTACGACTGCAACCTCTCCCTCCTTATCCTTAACCCAACTTTACTAATATCCCTCACTATGCCTTACTTTTTCTTTTTTCCATAACATCTGTCATCTTCTAACATATGATAAGATACACTTATTATGTTTATTATGTACTATCTGTCCTCATTAGGATGTAAATTTCACAAGCGTAGGATCTTTATCACCTTTGTTCACAGCTGGATCCTTAGGACTGAGAACAGTACCCAGCATATAGTAGGGCTTCATAATATTTGTTGAATTAAGTGAATGAATAAAGCTCACATGCCATCTTCACTACAAAGTCTCCCCTGATTCTCTGGGGCTGGAAAAAATTTCTCCCCAGAATTTCCACAGTACTTTATGTAGACCTGTCTTCAATATATGAAATTCATAATATTCCTACTTATCTTAAACTTATTTACGTGCATGTCACCTCCACTCCTGGATCACAAGCTCTTTATACTAAGATCCAAAATTTTCCAAAATACTTATTTTGCGCCTCTTTTGAGCAGATGATTAATTAATTTCTGAAGGCTGAATGAATAAATGAAAGGATATAACTGTGAATTACATACCCACAACTATTTTTTTTAACTTTTTATTGTAGAGAATTCCAAATACATACAAAAACAGAAATAATGGGGCGCCTGGGTGGCTCAGTTGGTTAAGCAACTGCCTTCGGCTCAGGTCATGATCCTGGAGTCCCGGGATCGAGTCCCGCATCGGGCTCCCTGCTCGGCGGGGAGTCTGCTTCTCCCTCTGACCCTCTTCCCTCTTGTGCTCTCTAACTCTCATTCTATCTCTCTCAAATAAATAAATAAAATCTTTAAAAAAAAAACAGAAATAATGAATACATGAATTCCATATATGCATCATCCTACTTCAACAATCATAGTAAATCATGCTTTATCAACAACCCCACTAAAAAGGGTTCTGTACCCCAATTCCAACATGGAGGGATTCCTATATATCTGAGCAATTCTTAGACACCAGCACAGTGTCCCCTATAAGTCAATTCAGTTCTGACACTATCTACCCAGATAGCACCAAATTCCACAGGTCAAGGGTTCAGTTCCACAAGACTAGACAGCCCCCCCACCACACACACACACACACACACACACACACACACACACACACACACAACTTATGCTCAAGGTATACAGAGGATGTCTTGTTCCTTAAATATGTCATGGTTTTTGAAACCTCTATGCCTTTGCAAATGCTGTTCCCTCTGCCTCAAATCACCTAATCCCTCATACCCAGTGGGCAAATTCCTATTTATTCCTCAAGATGAAGATTAAATAACCTTCCCTATACTACACTATCTCCTTCCTACTCCTTCAGAGAATTAATCAATCACTCCCATTCCTCTCCTTGACTGAAGTATCTTTCATCTCTGTTTCCAGGACCCAGCAGGTGTAAAGTAAATGTTTCATAAATTAAATAGAGTTGAATCTAAGAAGTTATTGAGAACTCAGCAAGAATTGAGATTATTGTTCTCAATAAAACTATTCCAACTTAGAGTGCTATCAGCCTAAAATTAAAATCCTTAACCGCAATGACGACTATCGCCAATGAAACAGAACTGACATCATAAATTCTGAAGTTGGAAGAAACCTCAAAGCCATCATCTGGGTCTGGGGCCCCATGCCCTTCTGCAGGAACGATATTAATGTGTCCATTTCACAGATTAAAGACTAGAGGTATAAGGAAGTTAAATGATCCAAGGTCACACAGCTCCTAAGCACTGGCTAAAAAACTAAAACTTGGATCTCAAATATACAGAGACAACATAAAAGGTGGTGGATAAATTAAGAGGTGGATAAATTGAGAGGTAGATAAATTAAGCAGAACTAAATAAGGTTAAACATTTCATAATAACCTATGTGGACTAAGGAAATGTCAAAGATTTTCATGAAGAATTCAGCCCAGGGTGCCTAGGTGGCTCAGTCAGTTAAGCATCTGCCTTTGGCTCAGGTCATGATCCCAGGGTCCTGGAACTGAGCAGGGAGCCTGCTCTCCCTCTCTCTGTGTCCCTCTCTCTGCTCATTCTCTCTCTCTCTCTCATAAATAAAATCTTAAAGAAAAAAAAAAAGAATTCAGACCAAAGTTCTGCTAGCTGGGCAACACAATGGGTGATGATTCATTAACAGTGAAAGAAGAAAGTCTGCACATTCTTTGGGAGACCAGCAGATAGAAACGGGTTTCATAAATCGTCAAATTTCCACCAAGCCGGGGAACACCAAGGAGCTTCATATCCCACTTTCTCTGTGGCTCAGTAACCACCCATGTGGCTCTGGTCCAGAGGGAATCGACACAATTCATACCACACGGCTAGGCGGGCTCGCTAACCCAGCCTAGCAGACAGCAGTCTGTCAGCGGAAAAGCAGTGCTTAGTGCAATGCAACCCCACTGAGCACAGAGAACGAGTCACATGTAAGTGGAGGGAAAGCCAGGAACAGACAAATAACATAAGAGCTCAAATGAGATCAATGGGACACAGGCTAAAGACTGTGCATGAGGCAATACAATGTACCTAAGAATGGGCAATACTCCTGAGAAGGACCGACAGGCTTCTGAAGCTTTACAATTCCTAACAGCAAAGCCAGTCCACACTGGCCCCGTGCCTCGCCAAAGACCTGGGAAGTACAGACCGGGCACCATCTCCAAGAGGTCACCAGGCTCCCTGAGATGACCAGACAAATCATTACTGCTCATGTCTGAAAAGCCAGTGGCTTGAGCCTGTCCCCAACCACTGACAATAGAAATAGCTTCAACCAGACCATCAGCCTCAAATATGAAAGGAAAGACACACCTCCTCAAACAAAGTGAGGACTGATTTCCAGATCCCCAGATGAACACAAGTCCTGACTTAGGACTCCAAAATGCTGATCCCTGCCTTCTGGGGTGCACGGTGGCACCAAGGGCAGAGAAAGGAGGATGTCTGAGACGAAAGTTGCACTGAATTTACTTGGAAGGCTGATTCTGTCTCCACACCCTCCCTAGGAGACAGAGCTGGATTATATAACCTTAACTTTGCCCACAAAATGCTCACATCAGGGGATACGACCTCCACCACTGGGGTTACACAGGTTTCAGCTCCCTGCTCGGACTTCAGACGGCCTCAGCCTCCTTCAGCCTTTCCCAGCCTGCACTGTAAAATGCCCTGCCTCCTGGCTCACTTCGGTTGCCTCATTTTTCAGGTCTCAAATGGGAGCCACTCATAATTCATAGTCAAAATTCTCACGGCTACCGGGGCGGAGGGGGTGGGTGGGGGGGAATCTGCTAAGTTCAGGTGCTTCCAAGTAAACTGTACATTAGAATTTCACACACACAAAAATCATTGCTAGAGAATGGACTCTGGATCCCTCACATGTGGCCCTGGGAGGGGGACAGGACTAGGGGTGGAAAAAATTCTGGTGGAAGGGTATGTGCTTTGACATGGCAGCTCCCGGGCCCAGTCCTGACCGCTGAGCCACTGCCCTTCTGTGGGCAGAACAGGTCTCCCACCCGCCCGGCGCCCAGCTGGTCCATCTGGGGGAAAGAGAGCCTCTTCTAAATGTTAAAGAAGCCGGGCGCCTGGGTGGCTCAGTTGGTTAAGCGACTGCTTTCGGCTCAGGTCATGATCCTGGAGTCCTGGGATCAAGTCCCACATCGGGCTCCCTGCTCGGCGGGGAGTCTGCTTCTCCCTCTGACCCTCCCCCCTCTCATGCTCTCTATCTCTCTCTCTATCTCATTCTCTCTCTCAAATAAATAAATAAAATCTTTAAAAAAAATAATAAAAAAATAAATGTTAAAGAAGCCTCCTCCGACGACTCCTTCTCACCCCCAGCTCCGAAAGTACAAAAGCAAGGGTTCCTTCAGAGCCAGCCTTAGGAGGTCCGATTTTAGGTGAGAGGAAAAACCTCTTCCCCCAAGCTCTCTTTGAACTTCTTCATCTATGTATTTCAGGAGAGGCATCTGAAATTGCCTTCACCAACTTACTCTTTTATTAGGACTAGCCTCTTACCTTCACTCATGTAAGAACAAATACAAGCTGGTACAGAGGCTGTGGAGATTGTGGAGATGAAGCACACCCAAGAGAACAAAACTTACTAGGCTTAGATGGACGTCACCTTGGGTAGGAGGGCTGAGTCTGTTTCAGGTCCTCTGGGCATTGCAACAATGCACAAATGCAGCCAGGGAAGCTTCTGGATCAAAGGAGAGTCAAAGAGCCTCCGGTAACTAGGCCTAGGGTTCCTGGTCAATGCATTTATAGTACATTTTATGATTTAAAAAAAGAACAGCTGTTCTGGGGAACCTGAGATTTTATGGATCCCACATACATTATAGCAGACAATTTTTTTTTTAAGATTTTATTTATGTATTCACGAGAGACAGAGAGAGAGAGAGAGAGAGAGAGGCAGAGGGAGAAGCAGGCTCCCCTCTGAGCAGGGAGCCCGATGCGGGACGCGATCCCAGGACTCTGGGGTCATGACCCGAGCTGAAGGCAGACGCTTAACCAAATCTGAGCCACCCAGGCGCCCATAGCAGACAATTTTATTCAGGTGAAGAGGATACTGATAACTGATAAATAACAACAACAAAAGACCAATCGGACTCACGTTTCTCCAGTGCCGGATTCCTAGGAAATGACACGCTTCTCTTCCTGCTTCTTTCCTGAATAAAAATGTAGCACAAAGTTCTGACTACAAATTTCTTTACGAGAGATCTTGTGAGCTCTGCAAGAGGAAGAGCCTAGAAGGAGAGGAGGAAACGAACATCAAGGTCCAGACACAAGAGAAGAAAGAGAAACAGTCAAGCTTTCCTCTCCCCGCTGGTAGGACTGGTATGAAAGGTCAGATGCCAAGTGCCCTAAGACTGCTTCCCTTGCGAAACGCTTGACTTCTGCCTCCTTTCAGCACTGCAGAGGGGTAAACACATTATTTTCTGTGGCTTCGATTCTGTAAAAGCATCAGGTCTGACAGGAAACCCCCCACAGCTGATTAGCAGAACGCCAAGGAGAGGGAAGGGAGAGGACCTACTGAGAGAACAACATGCAGACACAGAGGAGCTGACTCAGGTGTATCACAGACTCTGCAAAACAGATCCTGCTATCTTCAAAATGAGTACACAAAGTCGCCAACATGCCAAGAACAGTCACAGCAGAGTCCCGTTGCCCAATATCAGGGGAACACAGCCAACAATTTTGAATTAATATCCTCATAATTAAAACTGTAAATAGTAGGTAAAAGTGCCAAAACTCAGAAGAAGAAAAGATAAAAGAAATAATTAAGAAGATGAGGCAAGAAAAAGCAAAGAGATTGGAAAGGAGGGGAACCGTAATGGGAATAAATAATTCAGAGGGTTCAAAATCCAGTCTTTGCATAGCCTTTCTCTCATCCGATTTCTGAGTTAATCTCAAAAGCAAAAAAAGGAATGTGGCTTCCATCTTGGCCCAGCCTCCCTCCCTGCTCTAAGGAAAGGCAGTTGCCATGTTGGTAGCTGCCCTATGGTGAGGCCCATCTAGCAGAACTGGAAGGGGCCCCCAGGAAACAGAAAGGAAATGAGGCCCTCAGTCCAACAACCCTCAAGGAACTGAATCCTGCCAAGGAGCTAGGCAACAGATCTTCTCCAATAAAGCATTCAGGTAAGTTGACCTTGGCCAACGACCTCTTAAAAGACCCCTAACCGAAACCACCCAACTAAGCTGCTCCCAGATTTTTAACTCAAAGAAACTGTGAGAAAAATAAATGCTTGTTGTTTTAAGCTGCTAAGTTTGGGGGTAATTTGTCATACAGCAATAGACAGCTAGAATAACAGCTTTGAGGTAGGCAAAACTTTCTTAAATAAAACCCCAAAAGCATGAACAATAAAAGGAAAACATGATAGAATGGACTTCATCAAAAATAAAAACTTCTGTTCTTCAGAAGATACCATGATGGGGCACATGGGAGGCGCAGTGAGTTAAGCATTTGACTCTTGATTTCAGCTCAGAATCATGACTTAGGGTGGTGAGATCGAGCCCCACGTTGAGCTCCACGCTGGGCATGGAGCCTACTTAAGATTCTCTCTCTCCCTCTGCCTCTGCCCCTCCCCACCTCTCTAAAAAACAAACAAAAACAAAACAACAAAAGATACCATTATGGAAAAAGCAAAAAAAAAGAAAAGACAAGCCATAGAACAGGAGAAGATATTTACAATACACATATTTGACAAAGAACTTGTATCCAGAATAAAGAACTCTTACAACTCAGTAATAACACAAACAACTTATTAAAATATGAGCAAAATATTGGGATAGACATCCCAAAAAAAGAAGATATGAAAATAAACTGAAAAGAAAAATGACTACAATAAAAAAGAGTACCGAACTCTTTGAACCCTCTGAGTTATTTATTCCCATTACAAGTATTGGTGAGGACATGGAACACCTGGAGCTGCCGGGATAGAAAATGGTATGACCATTTTGGAAAACATTTTAGCAGTTTCTTATAAACATATACGGTAGGGTAGCAATCCCACCCTGGAGGTTTATCCAAGAGCAATCCAAGAGCGCTTTATTTGTGACAGCCCCAAACTAGAATGTCCATCAACAGATAAATGGATGAACAAATGGCAGTATATCCTCACAATGGAATACTACTCAGCAATAGAAAGGAAGGAATTAGTAGTACATGCCAAAACAGGGATAAATACAAAAAACATTATACTGAAAGAAGCCAGACACAAAAGAGTACATACAACATGCTTCCATTTATATGGAACATTAGAAAATACAAACAAATGCTGTAATGATAAAAATCAGGTCATTAGGGCTAGGGGTGGGGCGACCTGGCTGCAACAAGACTTTAGGAAATTTTCAGGGGTGATGGAAGTGTTATATTGTGCTGCTGATTATAAGTGTGTATACAATTGTCAAAATTCATCCAAATGTACACTTAAAATGGGTGCATATTATTGCATTAAATTATATATCAAGAAAACATCAGCTTTGGGGCGCCTGGGTGGCTCAGTCATTAGGCGTCTGCCTTCGGCTCGGGTCATGATCCCAGGGTCCTGGGATCGAGCCCCACCTTGGGCTCCCTGCTCGGCAGGAAGCCTGCTTCTCCCTCTCCCACTCCCCCTGCTTGTGTTCCCTCTCTCGCTGTGTCTCTCTCTGTCAAATAAATAAAATCTTTAAAAAAAAAATCAGCCTTAAAAAAGTTATTAGGCATGTATCACATTATCTGAAAACTTAAAACGTCCTGACTACTTTATTTCACCAACATATAAATGACAGCACTATTATTATACTGAAAACCTACCAGGTAGTTGTAATAAAATTTAGAAATCCTGGATTTTATCATTTTCTTCCCTGATCCTCATTCCAATACCAGTCAGTCAAATATTTAAAGAGTAACCACAATGTGCAAGTTGCTTATAAAAAAATATAGTAAATAACTTTTATGAATGAAAGAATATTTTAATTCCCACCTTGAAGTTGTCGCTTTACAACAATATATCTGGTAAGTGCTTATTTAAAATTCTAATTCGGACGGGAAAGAAGATGACAAAGTCAGACAGACACGGCCACTCTAAATTCCCGAGATTTTCCCAATCTTGTACTGATGACTCCCCTATGCAGGATTGCATCATTCATTCATGCTGTTTGGTAACAGGCACCAGTGGGATAAAACAAGGGAAAACCACTCAAAAGTAAATTGATGAAAAGAAAGCCTTGAAATCCCATGAAATTTTTTACCTATCCCGATTAAGAAAAATACACGTAGATTCAGAGCTCTGGATGTGGAAAAGGCAGACTGGTAAACAAGAAAGCTGGGCACCCGGAGAGAGAAACACATGCCCAGACTCACCTGGGTGCTGCTGTTCCTTCCTGGGCCGCCGCCACCGCCTCCCGGGCTCCCGCGGCTCTAACCTTCCGACTGCGGGGGGCCGAGGGCTGGCTCCCACCTTCAGTCGCGGAGATCCGAGGAGGTGACCTGTGCAGACCCGCAGAGCTTTTACCAAGCAGTCAAATGAGATCTGCTGATAGTGCGGTGGATTCTGGTAGGTTTTGCACGTGCTTTTCTAAACTGCGGACTGCACATTCACACTCCACAGAGCGGAGCTGGGCAGAAGCGCCGAGCCCCGCCCCTGGGTGGGGCTCCCTGAGCCCGCCCCTCCGCCCGGCTGGGGCTCCGGGCCCGCCGCCCAAGACTAGCTCCGCGGCGGAGCCCGGAGCCTCACCGCCCCGACTTTGCCGAAGCGCTCCCCGCCCGCACCACTAGGGATGAGGGTAAGAGAGAGAAGCCAGGGACCTCTGTGCTGATTTTGCAATTGACGAAAGCTCCTTAGGGACCTTTTTTGAATCCGCGTTTGACCTGTTCTTCTAGGAATGTAGGTCTCCAAGAGAATTTCAGTAACTACTTATATTGATATTATATGCCAACTATACTTCAGTTTAAAAATATATATTATCAAAAGCAAAACTACTTATATTCGCAACTAAAATGCAGAAAGCCATGAATGACAAAATGAGTATGCAGCCTTTTTCTTTTCTTTTTTCTTATCTTATTTTCTTCTAGGTGTCATTTGCCTAGCTACTTTTAAGTTGACTATAATACATGGGGTGAGCACCTCCAAACATTTACCTTTGGCTCAGCTGGCTGGATCTGGGCAGCGAGGCCCCGCCCTAAAACCCAACCTGAAACCTCACATGCTAACAGTTCAGCTTCCCTACAAGTGGACACTCCGGCAGGAGGATGCAACTGCTGGAGCAGGACATTTGGTCACCGTATCCCTGCCCTCTGCTACAGAACTTCCCCAAAACACAATTCTATCCGGAAACAGGAGCGCTGCTGCTCTTTAGTCAGGCGTGCCCTTGACGTTCAGCAAGAAAATGGCGGCAGGTTTGGGGCACACCTGGTTTAGTTTCTCCCAGATCGGTCAAAGAGGGTTCTGATTTGAAGAGTGGAGAGGAGGAATTTTGCTGTTTTGAAATAGGAGCTAAAAAATGATACCACGAATGGGGGAGGGCAAAATAAGGGGGTCTAAAGCAAGAATCTAGTCAAGAACCTGTTTATATTTTGTAGTAATTTAGAAATAAGTATAATAAAAGAACAAGATGTTAAACACCAAATACTTGTATATAGATGTTATATAAGTATATATGTATATAAATATATAAGTATAAATGGTAATTATTTCTAGGGGGAAAGAAACCCAAGTACAATAATGTGAAAAAGCAGTATTAATTTCTGCTATGTTCATATTTCACATACGTTTAATAATTTCAAATAAAATATTTGTACTGAATAAAATCTGTCAGCTATTCATGGTCTCCGTATCACACCTGTACTAACACTTGTGGTCATGAGGTGGCAGTGTTGTAGACACAAACCACATTAAAGACAAAAAAAAAAAATGTCCAGAGGAAGCTAATGGGTGGTCACAGATACATGTAAGAATCACAAAGTAATCTTGCCTGACAATCCATAACTATACAAGCAGATTAGAATATGCTTCGTTGTTGTTCTTCTGGAATAATGTTAAATAACACATGTGAGCCAAATACAATGCAGTATAATAAAAACATTAGCAAATTATTTGCAAAGTTTTAATCATAATTGGTTAGTAAGAAGTAATACAGGTAATACTAGTAGTGTTCCTGAAAAATTTCCTATAGATCACAGTTTTATAAGCTAACATATTGACTGATGATTAACTGTGTTAGGATCATGTACTTTTTATTTTTTTAAAGATTTTATTTATTTATCTGAGAGAGAATGAGAGAGAGAGAGAGCACGAGAGGGGGGAGGGTCAGAGGGAGAAGCTGACTTCCCCACTGAGCAGGAAGCCTGATGCAGGACTCGATCCCAGAACTCCAGGATCATGACCCGAGCTGAAGGCAGTCACCTAACCAACTGAGCCACCCAGGCGCCCTAGAATCATGTACTTTTAAAAAATTATTCAGTGCTAGGGGCGCCTGGATGGCTCAGATGGTTAAGCGTCTGCCTTCGGCTAAGGTCGTGATCCTGGGGTCCTGGGATGGAGCCCCACATTGGGCTCCTGGCTCAGTGGGGAGCCTGCTTCTCCCTCTCCCTCTGCCTCTCTCCCTGCTCATGCTTTCTCTCTCTCTCTCTCTCTATCTCTGTGTCTCAAATGAATAAATAAAATCTTTAAAAAAAAATAAAAAAATAAAAATTATTCAGTGCTAATAAAATAGGCTTCTAAAATATAGTAAGCTGGAACAATCACTCCAGAAAACAATATGATATCATTTAGTAACACTGAACATGCACATTTTCTATGACCCAGCAATTCCACCTCTGGAATGCACTCAGAAGAAACTTTTTTTTTTTAATTTTTTATTGTTATGTTAATCACCATATATTACATCATTAGTTTTTGATGCAGTGTTCCATGATTCATTGTTTGTTCATAACACCCAGTGCACCATGCAAAACGTGCCCTCCTCAATACCCATCACCAGGCTAACCCATCCCCCCACCCCCCTACCCTCTAGAACCCTCAGTTTGTTTTTCAGAGTCCATCATCTCTCATGGTTCGTCCCCCCTCTGACATACTCCCCTTTTCTTCCTCTCCTGTTATCTTCTTCTTTTCCTTTTTTCAGAAGAAACTTTTGCCCATGAGTAGCAAGAGTCACATATAAGAATGTTCACAACAATACTGTATACATATAAATAGTCATTGACCAGAAACTTAAAAGAGAGAGTATCATTTAATATCATAAATGATAACTTACAACATAAAATTCAGGATGGTAGTTATCTCTGGATACAGGAAAGAAAATGAGATTGGGAAGAAATTATAGATTTCTTTAATGGCAGTGAGTATATAGTTTTTTTTAAACCTGTGAGTATATACAAAATATTTTATGATACATGTGATACTTGTATATCAATACACGTAAATACCAATATACTGAAATATCATAAATGTTTTAAAAAGAAAAGAAAAATACAACTTAATGTAAACATTGACATTCAAAATAAGTCAC